TTGAAAGATGTTTGAAAGACTAATACCCCCTATAATAAACTTAGCAACAAAAACTCAAATGACATCAATAGACGTCTTTTGGCCGATGAATCATGATAAAATTATTTAATTTCTAACTATTTTACAATTAAATGAAATATTTACAATGTGTAGCCGAAGTGCAGCGGCTGCGATAGCGTCACGGGGCTTAAGTAAAGCTGCTGCCCGTGACACCTGGACTATTTGAGTGGTGAAGGAAGTATGGATTCGATCCATCATCAATGATTGAATTGCCTGTTGATGATGAAGAGTTATGATATGATTGATTTAGGGCATCAGTGACTACATTTAATCATTATCCTCTGATCAAGTTGTAATGATCAGTGAGGCTAATCAGATCTCGAGAATTGCAGCAGTAAGAAGCTCTGATACCATATTAAGGGAAAAGAAAAGAATGTGGAAAATGAAGAAAGAGCTTCTCATTCAATTCAATGAAGAATACAGCACGGTGGAATATATAAATACAATACAATGGAGCTAACAAATATGCCACGCTAGCTCTCGTTTAGCTAGTGCTGTATGGCTATCAAGACATATGGCCGACATAATTTATGGAAATCATATAGGGTTGGCTCGCTTGACCGACCCTCAAATAAAAAAAAAAAAGAAAGAAAGAAACAATGATTGACAGCTGTAAAAGTAACTAACTAACTATACAATTGGACTAACTACGAGCTACCAATTATAACTACCAGCTGTACTTGGCGCCAAATTGAATTTGAGCTCTTATAAGCAGTTTAAAAAAACCATGCAGATGCTGCAAAGTATTCTGATAATACAAAAAGGCCGAGAACTTCACAGTCTTTAGAAAAGTTAATGCAATTGAAGCTTCAAACCATTTCATTGAGTTCAATTTTTTAACATTAAAATCTGTTGAAATTTCTGTGCAAGTGGTGGCATTGTCCTTTGAGTGCTGCCTCTTCCTCAGTAACTACTTAGTTTTTGACAACTTAAAATATTCCATTAGCTGATTTTGTTCAAAAATTAGGTTTGCTGATAAACAAATTGTTAGACTTCAAGAAACACCAAATGAGATCCCTGAAGGAGGGACACCTCATACAGTAAGTTTGTTGATGCACGATAAGCTAGTGGCTGGCAAGCCAGGTGATAGAGTTGTGGTGAGATCATACATATTTACATTGTATTTGTCTTAAAGTATATCAACTGTAGTTTTTCTTTTGTTGTATTTTGGTCTAAGGTGCTAGTTTTACTCCTAGGCTACTGGAATTTACAGGGCTATGCGTGTAAGAATTGGGGCAAACACAGAGGACTGTGAAGTCAATATTCAAGGCAAGCACCTATAACTCCTTGGATTCCTTTTAGGTTCTCTAGTGAGGTCCCAGAGTTTTGATCTTGTGGACTTGTGACTCCAATATGAAAATAATGCATGGTAATTAGAAATGTGTTTCGAAATAAATAACAATTTCTTTTGTTTTCAGACTTACATTGACTGTCTTCATTTAAAGAAGACAGACAAGTCAAGAATGCATGTGGAAGACCCTATGGAAACTGAAGATGGAGCAAGCAGAAATGATAACAACTCTTCTGTTGACCATGAAGACAAGGTACTGTATTGTATTTCTTCTTCAATTCAAAAGAAATTTGTTTTTAATTTGACTTTTTATGGGATTCCTGTTTAATGTTGCAGGTAGAGCTCTTAAAGGAGCTATCTAAACAGCCTGATATATATACAAGATTGACTGGATCTTTGGCACCAAACATATGGGAGTTGGATGATGTTAAGAAAGGCCTATTATGCCAGGTGCCAAATTGTTCTCGCTGTGGAAATTCTGTTTGATTCATGTACATTTAAGCTTGATTTGTCAAACTTGTTTGAATTTGTATGTTTTTAAATCTTTTTGGGGTGAATCCTATGTAGCTTTTTGGTGGAAATATGTTGAAGTTGCCTTCTGGGGCTAGCTTTCGTGGAGATATCAACATTCTTCTTGTTGGTGATCCTGGAACGAGCAAATCTCAGCTGCTCCAATACATACACAAGCTGTCTCGTCGTGGTATATATACCAGTGGACGAGGAAGCTCTGCTGTTGGGTTGACTGCGTATGTTGCCAAAGATCTTGAGACAGGAGAAACTGTATGAGTTTAAAAATATTAGGCTCATTTTGTTTGATTTTAAAAGTACTAGGTTCATTTGTTATTCAATAGCATTGCAAACTGGGGAAATATCTATCTTACTGCAAATGACTTTATAGGTTCTGGAGAGTGGAGCCTTGGTTCTAAGTAACAGAGAGATTTGCTGTATTGATGAATTTGACAAAATGTCCGAAAATGCAAGGAGGATGTTACATGAGGTGAAAACCTAAACAACTATCCTTCTCCTTTTCTCATTAATCAACTTACCTTGTTGCATTTTAAAATATTGAGGCGGGAACAGTTATGAAGTGCCACAACTTGATATGAAGGAGAAAATACAAGTTCCGCAGCATTGCTGTTGCCATCAAGTTGCCACAATTTTTTGATTATTCTATTCTTATTTTAATTTGGTCTTTTCTTCAGGTAATGGAGCAACAAACTGTTTCAATTGCAAAGGCAGGGATCATTGCTTCCCTTAATGCTCGAACTTCAGTTTTGGCTTGTGCAAATCCAATTGGATCACGATACAATCCTCGGTTGTCTGTGATTGACACTATACACCTTCCTCCTGCCCTGTTGTCCAGGTAAAAGTTTAATTAGCGGGTGCTAAATCATATTACTATGAGGTTATAAAGTCCTTTTTTGAAACCAGAGCATGCTATGC